ATATCTATATCTATATCTATATCTATATCTATATCTATATCTATATCTATATCTATATCATCTATATCTATATCTATCTATATCTATAAATGCTTCTGTGTGTGTGTATGTTTCAGTGTAACTCTGTAACACCTTGAGCAATTTCAACCAAACGTGGTATACAGATGACTTATTCTCTGTAAAAAAGAAAAAAAACTTTGGGTTTAAGACACCCCTAACACCTCTCAGGGTGTGTGTTCTGTTAAGATACAGCCTGTTGTGCTTTAAAATGGCTTCTACTATATAGCGCAGTGGAGTTGCCATGGTAATGGCTTCACAGTACTCCACAATGGGGCTCCCTCTGGTAAAGGGAAAAATCCAACATTAGAAATTACGTTTGGTCCAGATATTTTTCTCCTATAAATAAATATCAGGACAATGCCAGGTTATCAGCTAGTAGCCTATAAAGTCGACAGTGTGAAATACTTCCACCAAATGAGCACGAGCTCTTAGGTTATGAGAAAAAGGGATGGAAATGTCACCTCTGATTAATGGTGCTGACATTTTGCAAACCACAAATGTAAGAAATGGCAAGGAGTCAGACACTGGGAGTTTGTGTGGCAGTTAGGGAGGAAAGAGATTGCTTAGAAAACTTCTGAGAATAACTAGAAATCTTGTCAGTCACACCAAGCTGGTTTAGCAGATTTTATTGCTTATGATATTGCCCTATGCTGGCATTATGGAAATGCAGATGTACATACATCTGCTGTATCCTATTTAATAGAGCAATTGTTTTTGATTGAATTTGGAACCATAATTCTAATACAGCTTTACACTGATTTCTTTAGCCATATGATAAATTTTGAAGCTTTTGCATTTACTTTGAACGCTTTACATTCTCAGTACATGTTCATACACCTCTTCCAGCTTGTTAAAATAGACAACTATTGTAGAGATATTTTAATCCAACTGGAATTATATCTAATAGTAATCTGAATTATAGAAACATTTTCATATCCTATACAGCATCTTTCATTTTCTTGGTCCCATACATGCCTGCCCAATACAAATACACACAGAAACATACTTCAGGGTGAGCAATATTATACAAAGTCCAATGAATAGGCATAAGTAATTTTATTGCACATGTGCTTAAAAAGTGGTCTTTTTAAATAAGAAGAAAATTACTTGAAAGGCTTTTTTTAAAAAAAATCTATAAATTCCCTCTAGTACTGAGAGGGTAAGAGAAGAAGGCTTATATATCACAACCAAACAAGAAACATGCATATTCATTTAAATGTTTTGCTCATTTTTCTTAGGTCAAACAGTTGATAATGTCAAGAAAAACTAAGATGTATCTCTAATTATTATGGCAAATTTGCACAAGATGCCAGCTGCATAATGGCTGCAAATGTGTGTAAAAAATCCTCAGTGGCCAACCATAAACTTCACAAGCTGGAAAAAATAATGACAAAGTGCAGGTGCTTAATCATTCTTATGCCTGCTACCTTATCTGTCCCCACTCCCTATCTCCAAAAGCTGTATTTTCAGCCTGCTGACTCTAACTAGGTTCACACATTACACTGAACCATGTGTTTTTCTTTGTTTGGACATATTGTGCTAACCTAGACGAAGTGTCTTAGGATGATGTGCCTACCCTGGCAATTGATGTATTCAGTGCTATTTAGCAATATTTCCATTTAATGAACCTTGTATAATATGTTTTAAATGTGACTGACAACTGTATATTCACAACCATCTATTTAGGCACAGCAGCCCAGAGTCACTTATGTGAGATATGGGCCATGTAGAAGTTTAATAAATAAATGAAAATATGTCCAGTTTATCATTTTGCACACATTATGTAAAATATGCATGCTTAGAGTCCCATCCATGTTTAATAGATGTTCAGCTTTATCAGACACTTATTACCCCAGTAATCCTTTACATTGAATGTAACAATGGGGGAAGCCAAGGCTTTCTTGGTCAATGTGTTGGTCATTAAAGAAAGAAAGAATTAGAATCAGAAAGTCCTACAATATATATTTACGTAAGATAATACTAGGCCATTTCTAAAGAATTTATCTTATAAGAAAAGAATCACCAGGGAAAAAAAAACTAAAGTAAGAGAATGAGGAGCTTAAAAATAAATCACATCACAGAAAATAATAAATTATTATTTAAATCTATTCAATAAAGTAAGGTAATACTGTACCAAAATCTATCTGGCTTTACTAATAGTTTTCTTTCCCTATATACATATAATAAGTCATGAGGTCATGTATTTCCTATTTCAGTGGTGGGATTCAAAAATATTTACTACTGGTTCTATGGGTGCGGCGTGGCGTGGCTTGGTGGGCATGGCATGGCTTGATGGGTGTGGTGTGGCTTGGTGGGCGTGGCATGGCTTGGTGTGCATGGCAGGGGAAGGATACTACAAAATCTCCTTTCCCTCCCCACTTCAGGGATACTGCAAAATCCCCATTTCCTTCCGATCAGCTGAGACGTGGGAGGCAGAGAATAGATGGGGGCGGGGCCAGTCAGAGGTGGTATTTACCAGTTCTCTGAACTATTCAAAATTTCTGCTACCAGTTCTCCAGAACTTGTCAGAACCTGCTGAATTCCATCTCTGTCCTAGTTTCCCTAACTTCATTCTCACTTTTGCAAGCTTATCTGGCGTGGCTTTATGATGTCTGATCAGAAAAAGTTTCATGGAAAGTTTTAGCTCTCTGGTGAAATGAATGTATTGAAATAGTTACATGTCTTCAACTATAATACAAGCCATTATCCTGGACATTATTATGAGCATTTTTCTTCTTTTTAGAGGAAAGGGAACAAAATACGAATGGTTAAAAAGATGTACAAGAAAATTTCAGTACAACTTGTCAGAGGAAAAGAGAAGTGCAAAAAACAAAGATGCAATATATTTGTGAGGTTTTTATGCATCAGTAATAAATTTGTAATGATTTTAGCACAAGAGCTCTTCATTAGAATTATTTACTTAAATTTCATTATGCCCAAAATGCAAATCTATGCATTTTCATTCATATGTCACTGTATTGACTTTGGAATTCCTTGGTAATGGTGTTGCATATCCACAACAAATTTTGTAAGTGTTCCCTTTTCCAATTGTTGCTTGCAGTTGAGGAAGCTATAGAGATTTAATAACTATTTTGAAGTATCCTCCCAAAGTTGTATTTCCCATGATCTTTTAAAGTAAGTCATGTGTGGAGAATAGACATAATCGTTGATTTTGTACATCAGAACATATGGAGAGAGCACATATGTTTTTCCCCAACAAAAATCTGTGTGCAAAACAATTGATGTGAGGAGAAAACTTTCATAGCCAATATGATTTGTTTCAGTTGAGACAGCAGTAATTTCACATATAAGTTGTGCATGATTTGTTCCATAGAAACGTTATAAGTGTGAAAAAAAGAGATTGATTTTAGCTGAGAATCAAATATGCTGTACTGATCATTATGTTGGGCTTTGACTTTAATTAAGATTTGATTTGATGTATACTGATCAATGTAGGAAACCATTTCAGAAGATTTTAATGTGTTTGCTTTCAGAATAGTTTTCTGTAAAAAGAAATCTTAAATATTATATAAACTGAAATAACCACATAGAAATGTACACCCTGTACATAACTGTATTTTTGAACTTCATTTTTTTTATAAAGAAATTGTGTAAATATTCATATGACAGTAGAAATGAACAATTACAAATTGCTTTCTAATATTTAATTCTCTTATACTGTATATATTCTACTCAAAGCAGTCTTAAATGCTTATAGTGTACAATCATATTAAAAATCATGTCAAAATAGGCCATCAGGCTTTTAAATAAATGTTCTATTTGATTATTAACATTATTTTGAAAATCAAAAATACTGTTCATTAGATAAGAAAATTACTTAGAATTTGGAAAGCCAGCACTAGGTGGGATTTAGATATGAATAAAAATAATATACTGTATCTATCTGAAAGATACATGCATACACACAGACCCCCCCCCCCCCCCGAGTCATTTATGGGACATTGAACCTACCTTCAACACGAACTTTGAACTCATGCTTTGTTTCTCCTAAATCATTTGAGGCTACACATTCATAGGTTCCTTCATCATCTTTAGTAACTTGTTCTATCTTCAAAACTTTTCCAAAATTCTCAGCGACTCCTCTGAAAATGCTGGTTTTGTTAATCCTTCTCCATGTTAAATGGGGTGTTGGACTTGGATGAATTTAAAAAAGAAAGAAAATGTTTATGTTACATGGGCCTTTACCTGCCAGTCAAGAGTTCTAGATTCAACAAATGCTTATATAGACTAATGTTGCTTAAAATGAGTGACCATATAGATCTTTTTATTGTAAATAAATGTTATGATGTTCAATATTTCACAATAAGCTGTTGTTTGCTGAGCTGCAATTGTTTTGGAGGCGAGTAAAATAATAGTTTGTTTTATAAATTCTGTTTTTTGCCTTATTTTAATTTTTCTTGTCTTGTGCATCCAAGAACTGGATATGAAATGAATATTAAACACTGATTAGGAATAACCCTCGGAAAAGACAACTAAAGTATGCTTCCTCATACATATGTCTTATTCCACATTTGCAATCTGCAAGTCAACAAAAGTTTGTTATTTCAAAATATGCACTGCAGAGTATCTCTTTCTCTGTTGTGTATGGAATTTACACAAATATTTGGTTTTTAAAAATATTTTTTCCCTAATCAGACTTTGGAAAAGGATAGTAAAAGGCAAAAAGGCTGAATATTAGAAGTCAAGAAATATGTTGTATGAAAACAGTGTTATATGTGAAGAAGTTGGTATTGAATCTACCTATGTTATAGTAATGTTCCTTGCTATATGCTTTCTTTCCAAGCTCATCATAATAAACACAGTCAGTTCACATCTTGTGTCATGAAGAGCTTGGAGTATCAGAGATAAACTGAATCTGTCTGCAACAACATGTGCATTTAGTCATTCAAAGATCTGGATTCTGCTAGTTTGTTAAAAAAAAAAGAAAATGTAAGCATTATTGCACTGCAAACCATAGAGTTCAGGGCCACAGGGTCTGTTGTCCAACTGCACAATGTCAGACTATAGATTTGAGAGCCACAGAGCTAATTGCAGCATTTTTAAGCAAACTACAGCACCCTCTTAGGTTTAGTTGAGTAATGACAGTCTTTTTTTTAAAAGGATAATCTTAGGTCACCACCAGAATTGAAGCATATTGCAGAAAGTCACTAGTGATGCTTTCAACAAAAAATTCCACTGTACTTAAGAGAAAATGGCTGCCACAAAGAAAAGGACAAGCAGAGAAGAGAAGAGTACTAAAATGTGAAGCCTCTGTATCTTTTTTTCCTTCAAGATAAAACTGCCTCAGTTGTACTGCCTTGTATTGAGAACAGTACAAGGAAGGTTATACAAAGGCTCTGTGATGGAGATGAGTGGTTTTAAAAATTGATAAACAAACAAACAAACAAACAAACAAATACCAAATATAGAGTGTACCCCCCCCCTTTCCTGCTGCTATTCATTTTCCTTTTATTTGAAAACTCTGCTTAAGTTAAGGAATCAAGCTCTACTAATTATCTCAGATGCCATTTTCCCCCTCAATATATCTTTTAGCAATCTTTTCATTGTTATATACTCATTTTCAAATTTTCTCTCATCTCCCCTTTAGCTAAAGCAGGTCCTCCAGCAAAATGTGGTTCCTATTTTCCACAATCTCAGGAACAGCAAAGCCTGAGATACCAAATATGCATAGTTACAGTTGATTGGAGGTGTCATTTAATTTCTACTGTAGTTTTCATTTTGTATTTTGAATAGAATTATTAATTTTGCCCAGCTGAATAATTAAAATCTGCTATCTTTGCTCTACTCTGAAGGAAATAGCTGAAACACTTGGATTCTTTATATATATTAAGAGGAAAAAACAATGGAAGAAATTGTTGTATATGTGGTAACTGTGGGTTCAATTCAGTTCAATAAAATTGATCAATGTTTAAAGATACCTTCATGAATATGTATCTGAATTCTCAATCATGCTGGTAACCTAAGGTAAAATGTTTGCTATTCTAAGCAAACTGACTCAGTTTGGCTATCACACTAAATAAATCACCAGCCATATAATCATCTGAATACTTTCTTGCAAAAACCGATGAGATTTGTATTTTATAGAAACTATATTGTCTTTTCTCCAAAGTACCATATTTCTCAGACTATAACATGTCCTGGAGTATAAAACACACCAAGATTTTGAAGTGATAATTTTTTAAAAAAAGTTTTTGCACTCTGCAGGTCTCCCAAACCCTCTGCATGCCTCATTTTTTGTGAAAAACTGGGCATTCAGAGAGTTTCAGAGGCCTCCAAAGTGCTCCTGGGAGCTGGAGGGGGGGAAAAAACAAGCAAAAAGTGGCCTATTTTTTTGAGAAAACTGGCCCATTTTTCCCCAAAAAAGGGGGGGGGCATGCATAGCCTTTAGGATGCTTGTAGAATGCTCCTGGGGGCTGGGAGGGCAAAAACGAGCAAAAAAGGCCCATTTTCACATGTTTTCCTTCCCCAGCCGCCAGGAGCACTTTCCAGGCCTCTCAAGCCCTCTGTACGTCCATTTTTGTAAAGGGGCAGGGTTTCGGACCAAAAATGTTGTATTCAGTGTATAAGACACATCCAGATTTTCACCCTCTTTTTGGGGGGAAAAAGGTGCACCTTATATTCTGAAAGATACAGTAAGTAAAAATATACACAACACTATCTAATGGCTACTATAGATTAAAAGTAGTCCAGAATGCCACTGAGAAGTTGAGCTTATTTCATCCAGTCCACAATGGCATTAAAATCATAAATGGGGTTAAAGATTTTGCTGCAAGGGCAATAATCAATTCTTTGTCTTCTTAGACAGAATGAATTCTCCAGACAATTAAATATAAAAGGAACTTTGTGTTTTGCAGAATTACTGTGAACTCTCATAACAAGAAAGAGAGACGTTCAGGCCAGGCTGCTAACTTAGCATTTCCAGCTGGCCTTGCTATTGCCAACACTGTGTATGGCATAAACAGAGCAGAATCATGTCAGCTTATTCTTGTGTCCATCTGCTGGGATGGCAGCAGATGGACACAAGAATGGACACAAGCATGCCAAGGGTCAGGTTACTATCAGTTCCAAGTTCCTAAAAATATAATGGGGCTGATTATAGAACAAAGCCCAAATATTTACAATATCTTTCTGTAACTTTAGGTTATCTACTTTAAAAAAAATCAATTGCTTTTGCTTCCTTGTAATTACAGATAGTCCTCAAAAACAATTGAGATCAAAATTTATGTTGCTAAGTGAGACTTTGCTTGTGAGAAGATTGCAAAAGCTGATTGCAAGACCCCACATATTTATGAACCATTATACATAGGAATCGATTGCCAACCAGCTGAATTTGATTGTGATCATAGGGATGACCCAATGGCCATATATCACTTTTTTCAGTTATGTTGTAACTTTGAACAGTCAATGATTTGTTATAAGCTGAGGAATCATTTGCTGTTATTTTTCAAAATCAGTTCTAAAATACGAATACTCACAGTCCTTCAGCAATGCATTCCAGAAAAAGATCCATTCCTTTCATAAATGTCACTTCCGAACTGGCACCAGAAGATTCAGGGATAAGTAGCTTGGGTTTTCTTTCTTTGATTAAATTTGCTAAAAGGGAGAAAAGTAATTTCAGAACTCTCAAAATAAGATGTATTCAACTCTTCCTTATTCTATCAGTCATGGTCAATAAAAATATCAGTGCTAATTCATTCATATGCTCTACATACTATAATGAGATGTTCTTTTCTGCTAGGTCATTTTTTTCATCTGCTTTAGAAAATACTTCTAAAATTTCCAAACACTATACAATAGAATGTGGTATATTAATTGTAATTTGGGGATAAAATGTATGAGTGCAGCATATTCTTTACATTGTAGGAATAGTACAATTAGAAATAATTGTAAAATTTGTGGGCTCCAAATTAAAAGCTTTGAAAGTGGATGAAATTATAACATCTTAAATAGACTGCTAGGATGGGGAGATTAGGAGGAAGAAGAAATATTGGATAATTTCAGGATCTGGAGAAGAAAGGACTTTCTCTTACTGAGACTCTATCCCTCAGTGTCATCTGGTCTACTAAAGATTAAGATAAAGCCTTCAGGAGAAAGAAACATTATATTCTTCATCTTTCCAATTAGCTATCTTAAGTATGGTTCCACTTTCAAAATAAGATTAAATTGTTTTCTCCTATGAGCATGGAACATGGGAGAAACTTGGAAATTATAAGGAAGAGGAAGAGGTTGGCAAAACTCAATAGTATCTTTTGGGTTCAGCTTCTTATTAGAGATTTTGGAGGAAATCATTAGGAATTCAAAACAACTTGGTGGCACCCCATCATTAAGCAATCTTATTGGAGAAAGATGGACTAAAGGTGGGGAATCTTGGACTAGATCCAGACTTTGGAGTTTTCTATTCCTGTTTTATTGGGTAATCATAGCAAATTTCTGTTTTCATCTATCTAGCTGGAAACTACAGTACCCCCCCTCTCTCTCTCACACACACACACTCACACACTCTCACTCTCACTCTCACTCTCTCTCTCACTCTCCCTCTCTCTCCCTCCCTCCCTCTCCCTCTCTCTCTCTCACAACACTGTCATTTGCATGTCTCTATGTAAAATGCAATATATTTTAATTAGGATATTTTATTCATTTTAATCTAAGCTGAGGCGTGAAACTTTAAACAGTAACAACTTACCCTTAGCCGCATTAGATGAACTGGAATCATTAGTATATTTTACTGCAACAGACAGAAATGGAGNACACACACACACACACACACACACACACACACTACATACACAGACAAAGAGTGAGAGGCTACATATTCACAATATTAGATAGATAGGAATTTAAATTTTCCCTAGAAGGCATATTTTCTTTTAAATTCTTTTACCTAGACTGCTGTCCTTCACCTAGGACACACATAATGGTTAAAGTTAAGTAATCCTTTGGAAATTTAATTAGCAGCACAAGTGAGAAAGATCCTTTCCCCATTCCTCTTTTACCTTCCCTCACTTCCTTATTATAGCCTTCCAGGCATTTTCACTTTCTAAAGTAATATTACTTCACTTCTAGAGGAATTAAGTATAGAAAATAATCCTTGTACCCTCAGATAAAAAGTCCACAATTTTCTTCAAAGACTATAGTTGAAATAGCATTAGCAAAAGTTGTGGGGAAACTGAAAATGGTAAAACAGAATAGAAACTTTATCGATTATAGTCATTTGACCATATCAAAAGTGCATGTAGTCCTCCACTTATAACCACAATTAAGTCCAAAATTTATGTTGCTGAGTGAAAAATTTGTAAAGTAAGTTTTGCCCCATTTTACTATTTTTCTTGCCATGTTTGTTAAGTGAATCCCTGCAGTGTTAAATTAGTAACACTGTCATTAAGTGAAACTTATTTTCCCATTGACTTTGCTTGTCAGAAGGTCGCAAAATGGGACATTGCAACCATCATAAATATGAACCAGTAGTCAAGCATCCAAATGTAATGGGGATGCTGCAAGAGTCATAAATGTGAAAAATGGTCATAAGTCATTTTTTTCAGTACCGCTGTAACTTTGAACGGTCACTAAATGAACTGTTCTAAGTCAAGGACTACCCTTAGAAAGCTAGCAGAACTATACAAATGCAAAGAAAACAGTAGTAACTCATCAGCCCTATAATAAACCCCTTTCTTTTAGTCCAGACATTCCACCTCTTAACCTGGGGGGTGAAATTATACACCCCTCAGAGAGGGCCCGCAATTTGGGTGTCCTCCTGGACCCACAGCTGACNTTCTCATATCCAATTATTATTTATCAACATTTCTATAAATGATGTAGATGAGGAGATACAAGGAGTGCTGATCAAATCTGCACATGATGCAAAACTGGGAAGGATTGCTAACTTTTCAGAAGAGCACTTCAGCTTAGAAGCTTGATAGATATGAAAATGTGTACCTATACTCAAATATGTGATATAATGGTGGAAAATTTAAGGTTCAGCATTTGGAAAAACTGGACACACCAGTACAAAATAGGTGGCATCTAATTCAGTAGCTTCTGTGCATCAAGATAGTTTGCAGATTGCATTATAGTTTTTCCCCTGCTTTTGCCAATAAGCAATTTGATATTATTGCACTTGTTAGAATTTTGATTGTTCTATTTTGAATTGTTCTATTGTTCTGTTTGCAGATTATTGGATTTGCTCCTGGAATTTTCATTCCTTTTCAGCACTAATCATAGACTGAGCCAGCTCAATATCAATTGTTTCACTTACCTTATTCTGTACACCACTTTTATGCCCTCAAACTATTAGTGTCTAGTTTGGTAATAAGTTTCAGAAAAGCATTAGGCACATGATCCGAAATAGCTGAACTGATAGGTCATGATATGCTGCTAGCAGTGGTGGGATTCAAATAATTTAACAATCGGTTCACCCAGTTTAGCTGTTGCGGGAGGCATGGCCCATTCCCATCTTCCAACTCTGCCGCACATGTGAAATGAGCCTCTTGCGATGGCCAACGTCACCCTGGGTGAACCAACATGAGGGAGGAAGAGGAGCAGGGAGAAGAAAGAGGGAAAGCCTTTCCTTGCACCAGCTACTCTGTTGCCCATTTGTCCATTACAGCACAGCACAGTGCCCAGGATCCACATTGACAGCGGGTGAGTGTATGTGGGGGAAGGTAATTTAACAACTGGTTCACTTGAACCACTGTGAACCAGCTGAATCCAACCACTGGCTGTTTGTCTGACATTTTGAAGGTGGCAAAACACACTCTTCTAAACATCTAATTAACCTTGTACATCCCACCTCCATTAGAGGGCGCAGTCTGTGTCTGCTTTCCTTTTGGGAGGTGTTGATTAATGCAGTGTTTTTCAACCACTGTGCCGCGGCACACTAGTGTGCCG